TTCACTGCCTCCCTGAGTTTGCTCAGTTTCATGCTCATTGCTTCAGTGATAAAGATATTGCTAATCTTTATTATGTCTTGTAAAAACCAAAGCAAAATCTGTTTCCCACGAGAAGCTATTTGTTCTTTATAAGTAATTCCAAAATCTTATTGTAAAAGTTTCAATATTCCAATTTTATCTGGACCTTAGTCCATTTATAACTTTCTAAGATCAAAATCTTATTTACATTTTTGCAGTTTATTTCAGATTCTTTAAATTCTTAAGCTTATGATTAAAATTTTCTTTCATTTACGATTAAAGGCAGAAACCTGGGGTTTTCAGACTTGTCAGTCTGAAGGTCTCTAATACCTTAGAAATAGTTAATGAACAATTTCTGAAAGTGATTAGAAAATGAGGTTTGCAAACTTAGTGTCCTTTAAAAGTCTCTGCTGAGCAAGATAACTAATCCTGTCATCTCTGGATACTCAAACCTGTGGAAAACCACTGTCCTGTGGTGTCCTCACAAGGAGCAGCTGTTTGGAGCACTCATGGGCAATCTCCCATCCTGTCCTTACCTGGAGAGGTTCCAAGGGACCGGTCTATTCTCAGGTTCCTTGGTCTTTGCCACAGTTGTCAGCTCCGCTTTCACAGAGCTGTCTTCAGTCACCATACCTCCACAGAGGTCCAGCATTGCTTCTTTCCTTATACTAGTGACACGTCAATCTGTGGTCAGTACTGGCCTTAAATGATCCCACAATGCTGAGAAGCTTCAGCTGTTTAGAAAATTGAGACAATCAATCCCTCAAATTAATCAGCTCAGCTCCTATTCCAGATGAGAAAAAAGCTTCAATATAAAGCATTCCCTTTATGCTGGATAGCATTTCTTGATAATAAAAGGTTAGAACATTTGGTCTTGGTTGCTTTACTCAGAAAACTGAAATCATAATGAGAAATTGCTTGAAATTCCAGTTGAGTGTCAGTGATGAAAATAAGATTTAGAGAGGGTTTTTTTTCTTTTATTAACTACTCCCCCCCCCCCATTTTTTAAAAAATGGATCACTGATATAGTACAGAGTTAGGAAACAAAAAAAATATACTGTAAATATTTTCCTTGAAGGCATCAACTGCAATCTCAAATCCACTAGCCTCACTTCTGTTTAGAACTGGGTTGATGCACTGTAATGCTATTCAGACTCCTACTGAACTAAATAAGCACATATGCATATTAGAATATAGAAGAAATGTTCATCCATTTTTTTTAATTAAAGTTCTATTAAAAGGAAATCAGTAGAAGTTAAATTCTTCATTAGGTGATAAGTCCCAGTGTTTTCAATACAGTTAGAGCTTAAGACATCATCTTAATTTTACAGAACTCAGCCTGAGCCAGCTGGTTGTCTAGAAAGCCTGGAATGTGATTCAGTCATGGCTGTTGCTTTGTCTACATGCAAAGCCCAATCCTTGTCAGATGGGCTCTGGCTTTTCTTCTTGCTAGCTGTGAACAAGCAGGAAAAGTTTGGGGGGGGGAAAGAGTTGGCTTAGCTGTAGTGTGGGTGACAATTTAACAACTGGTTCTGACAAATTGGAATGAATTGGACAACACCCTTACTCCTAGTGGAAAAAGAATAACAGATATACAAAGGCTTCTGCTTTTTATAAGAAATAGTCATAGTGGCAGCAATAGTCAGGAGGGCTTTTGCAATTACCCCTTTTCGTTGGTCAGGAGGTCCTTCTCTGGTCACTCATGCCTTTGTTACCTCCTGTTTGGATCCCAGCCACATGTTCAACCTGGGCTGCCCTTGAAGGCCCCTAAAAGGCTGCAGCTTGTTAGTGGTTATGGGTATACTTCAGTTTGCCCATGGGATATCTCTGCTTCACAAACTGCACTGGTTACCAGTTGGCTTTCAGGTGCAACTCAAGGTGCTGGTAGTCACCATCTTGTGGGATCCTTGAGACATGCCAGCTCTGTGTCCACCCCTGCCCTAAGGAATAGCATCACTGAGATGTCTGTATGGCCCTAACCTTGCTAGCCATCAAAAGAACTATAAAGACCTGGGTTTTCCAGGGCAAGGGTGATTTGTTATCCCATCTTCTTGGTGACTGTTTATATGGTATTGTTCCTCCCTGATATGGTGTGGCATATGTTATGGTATTTCTATTTTTAATCTCTGTTCATTGTCTGCTGCCTACAATTGCTTTGGCAATTGAACCAGCTGATGAATGGATGGATGGATGGATGGATGGATGGATGGATGGATGGATGGATAATTACATTTGTGCAGAATCTTTTTGGTTGGGATTCAGCCTTAACTAAAAACTGTCATTTGATGGCCATTATAATTATAATTGACCATTTCTGCAGTAAGTTATAGACAGTGACATGCAGTATTATATAAGTATACATATATTTATATATTCCCACATTATTTTCTTTTCTCAGTTTCAGATTCAAATGTCCTTTTTGGGCCAAAGCAGGTAACTGGATTGCTTGGTGGTTCTGTGAGTATAAAATGCTTCTATCCTCCCAGTACTGTGAACATTCATTCCAGGAAGTACTGGTGCAAGGAATCAACAAGACATTGTTACACCTTTATTTCTTCTAATGGTTTTGTTGCCAAAGATTACAATGACAGAGCCTCCATAACTGACTTTTCAGAGAATGGCATATTCACCATAGAAATATCAGACCTGAGGAGCAAAGACGTGGGTCTGTACAGATGTGGCATTGGTTTAAATGATTACGGACTGTCCTTTAAAGTCAAGCTGGAAGTTACTGAAGGTAAAAATGTATTTTCTAACCCTCTAGACTTTCTTAGGCTATGCATTAAGGTTGTTAGATGAGGCTCTTCTCTAGGAGAAATATATGAGGTTTGTACAAAAGAAAAGGCCTTTTCTGTGGTCTCATCTCAACTTAATTTTTCAAAGCATTTTCAATAATTGCATTTTCAGCCAGTTCATTGTTATACTGTTCAGTTTTTTGCATCACTGTTTGATGTTTCATATTATTTTGAACTGTACTATAGATTGCAACATAGGTATGTACACCTTTTTTAAATAAATGCACATCTTATAATTTCTTAAATTTCTTAAAATAAATACAACTTGAGAATATAATCAATCTCTATTTTATGCTTCCCCTCCTTAATAAAAATGCATACATTTATAATTTAATTCTAGGAAGACACTATCTGAAAGAGTTGCATGGACAAAAATGTGGATGGGGAAGGGTTACATCTCAATATGAACTTTAGCAGGGAGGGGGTAGAAATGCCTTCAGATTTCCAGTTGTTTGCTGCATTTTGTCATGGCAAAAAATTAGAGATTGAAAACCCCAAATTTCATATGTTTTGTTTTTGTTACTCTGAACATTTGAAATGCCTTTCAGTGATTTGTTTCCATACCACAATTGGGCATTGGGGAAAAACAAAATGTGAATATAGTCTGAGATTGCAGATGAACAATAATTTGTTTATTCCCAAA